AAACTTAAATAAATATAAATATTTAATTAAAATATAAAATAACAATATAAATATTTAAATTAATAATATAGTAAATATTCTTTGGCGTATTGTTCCAAATTTGTAAAACTTCAAATATACTTTATGCCATATTCCTCACAAATCTCATTTACTTCTTGGAACCATATCTCGAAATCTTTCTCATAATTCTGTTTTTTATATTCATCCAAATCAAATGTATTACTCATCTTGCTATATTTATATCTAGTTTCCTGAATATAAAAGTAACTTCTTATATGAGCTTCTAAAAAATTTAATATCGTACTCAACCTCTTGTTTTTAGTTGAATAATTAACTTTCTCATTGATTATATTTTTTTTAATTAAATAATCTTTAAATAATTTGTAATTTATAAAAATTATAAAATTTTCAATTTGAATATTTATTTCAAACAATTTATTAAATTGTTTTTCAAATTCGATTGATTGTAAGGGATTTTCAAAAGATTCTTTATAATTGATCGAATTTGACGACCAATTATTCTGAGAATATCCAATATTTCATTCTTCATTTTTAATTAATCATGTTGTAATATTAAATTTTTTATTAAATTTTGAAATAAATTTTTTGAAGAAAGGCATTATTAAAAGATTAATTTAAAATTGTTAAAGATTTACAATCGAAATCCAAATTTTCATTGTCTTTAATTACCGACATTTTATAACATTTCAAAGAAATGAATACAAAACTTGTAACTTTTTACAAATATCTTTAACTTGAATAGTAAAAGATATTGAGATTACATAATAGGTTTATCAAAAATCTGAAGAACTAAATAATGTTTTAAAAACAAAGAATCAAAATTCCAAATTCGAAACAAAGTTCGCATAATAAGGAATTTCTATATATGTTTTATCATTAGATGTTGTACAATACTTAAAATTTTTAATTTTGTTTTAGTAAATAATCTACAAAAAATTCTTAGATTCTTAATTCATTTGTATAACAAACAAATTGCCAATCTATTTATCTTTTAATAAATATTATACAAATAATCAATAATCCAAATTTAATCAAATATTCTTTAATTAAAATAAACCAAATATATAATTTTTTATAAAAAATCACAAATCATGGCAAAATTTTAAATTTTCAAAAAAAAAAAGAACTCCGAATCATGTATTATTTGCTGCAAAAAATTAAAACCTATCGATATTTTTTTTCTTCCTTGTTCCACCCACCCACATCCATTTCATCGTCAGTGTTTGCTTAGTTTGATTAATAATCGAGATACTTCATTTATCAATTGTCTAAATTGTTGATACAAGATATCAAAAGATGAGATCGAAAATATAGTCGAACAAATTAAACTACAAAATGAACTTCGAAAGAAAAGAAGAAATAATATCATAAACGAATTAAAAAAGTTAAAAGAAGATTTTGATAAAAAATGTGAAAATGATATTAAAATAGTTCAAACTAATATAAAATGAAAAAGAACTAAATTATTAAATGAATATAAAAGAAATTTAGCAAAATTGAATAAAGATGAAAAAAATCAGATTACCATAATAAATAAAAAATATAATCAAGAAAAATCGAATACAGATGAAAGAATCAAGAAAAGAGAATACGAATTAAAATCAGAAGATGATTTTAAAGATGTGATCGAAGAAAAAATAACCGCAAACAAAAGACAAAAAAGAAATACAAGAGAAAATGATGATATTGTAATAATCGATGAAGAAATTAGAAATAGCGTAAATACTTTTTTAGCAATAACTCAAGAAAGATTTGAACAAATAGATAGAAATCAAAATTAATTATAATTTTTTTTCATATTTTGTTTTGTTGATTTTTGTAACATTATTAATTGATTTTCTTATAAATAAAGTTGGTTTTCTTTTTTTTTTATTAAAATGTCTTTATCCAATATTGATCAAAGTATCGTTAAAAATAATGTGAGTAATTACTTAATATTGCATGTTGAGTATATATTTTTGGTTGTAAGCCATGCTAGATAGAATGAGACCTGTTAGTACACAATCCGTCAGTGTAATTGCTACCTGTAGAACCAAAAATATGTCTAAGCTGATATACCTGGTAGGAGGTTAGCATTCACAAGTACAATGAAACATGGTGTATTAATTCTATCTTTTAATTAACAGGAAAATCCTTTTATTAAATACAAAAATAAAATCATCTTAGAATTAGAAGATGATTTTGAAATTACTGAAATTTTTAATTCAAAAATAATATCAAATGACAGAGATAAAGATCTTATAATTTCAGTATATGATATTGATTTTTTGGTTACATGTAAATATAGACCAAAAGCAAATATTCGATTTAATGATGTTGAACGTACTGCAGCCAATTCCAAACTTCTTAAAATTCAAGGTGTGATAGTTACAAATGTTGGATATGGAAAAAAGGCTATTAATAATGCAAAAAAATATAATATTATCTTAACTCAAGATTTTAATATTAAACATAAATTAAAATTATATGTTGATAAAATAGTTGAAAAAAGAATGTTAGATATCTTGGAAGATATCGAAAAAGAAGAAAATATTTGTCTTTATGTTGAATAATTATATATAATAAAGATTTAGATTTTAAGTTTTTATATTAATTATTTATTATTAATTATTTATAAATGTCGAAATATATAAATGTGTTATGTTTTGTTAAGCAAATA